ATTAGTCATTTTATTTCTGTTAAGTTATGTGCTTATGTGGCAGTTTTAATAGAGACTTCCTGTCCCATACTTAAGTTGGGGGGGGCAGTTTAGTCTTTGTACAACTAATTAGAGGCTAATTCATATTAGGGTCGACTGATAGGGCTTAAGCTATCAGGTTCGACTGTTCCTTTTCTTCTTCTTCTTCCTCTGGTTCGAACTGCTGAAGCCACTGAGATAACATTTGGATTTCCAAATTTTCAGCCAGGAAATGCTGTAGAAATTTTTTCTACTTGGCCAAAGTTAAGAGGAAGTAAGAAAGCAAGGATTCTCTGGAGCTGCTTACCATTTGCTATCTGCTGGAACATCTGGAAGGAGAGAAATAGAAGAGTTTTTGAAGATAAATACTGGAATATGGAAAAGATCGTGACAGCTATCAGTAATTCAGTTGCAGAATGGATTCTGGTCTCTCCAGCTTTTAGCCAAGTTTCTAAAGAAGTTTTGGGTGACAGATTAGGGGAGATTTTGGAATATCAAATTTGTAACCTGGATGGCTTTTAGTTTGATGCTTTGTTTAGCTTTTGTTCTGTTTGTATGAGGGTGATGCCTTATCACCTATCATGATGTAACTTTGTCCTTTTTACCTTCAAAAAAAGTTTGTTTTTGAAGATAAATAAAAAATTTTATTAAAACAAGAAAAAAGGATACTAGGAAAGGTGATAGGCAATCACCCAAAGGTTGTTGTTTGAAGTTAAAAATACTATTCAGATAAGCTGCCCAAACAAGGAAAGACTCTTTATGAAGGCATGCATCTACTCCACACAACATCAATAGGAAAGCCATTAACCTCTTGCCTTTTCATTTGGTTATAAAACGATTTTACTGAAAAATGACCAGGTTGTTATTTGTGTTGGTAACTTTTAATTGTTCCTTTTGGATACTTGTAGTTTTAGGTGGTTGGGTTTGCTGGAAAGTGTTATAGTCTTTGTCCTTGTATCTGTCTGGATTCCACAGTCCATTGTTGATATATACCATTGTAATTGTATCCTTCTCTTTAGCTACAGATTTTGTGTATCTGATAAAACAGAAAAGGAAAATGTCCAAAGCACTAAACAACAGAGTCAAATTCTTAAGAAAACAACTCACTCAATTCAATATAAGTGAATAAAAATTATGGGACATATCTATCCCTTTTCACAGGGTTATTTTTTTGAAAATGATAACTGTATATTATGCATTAGATATAAGAAAAAATGTATCTGAGAAGATGTACAGGAGACTTGGTGCGCCGTTAACTTTTCTACACCTGGAAGTTACCAAGGCAGTGAGTTGTCACTTCAAAAACATTCCTTTTGTTACACCTAACTTGGCTAGCTCTTCCGCAATATAGTTCAATTCCCTAGTGGTCAACCTAAACATAGTGTGTATGAAAACCGCAATTTCCCTAGCTTCCCGTCAATGAATAAACCACCCTCCAGGGGCTGTTCCTGTGCTTCCCCATCCAATTGATAGTGTTTGCTGTGTCTCCTCCAATGGATAGACAAGAAACACATAGTTGTTTGGAAATCCTTAGACTACTTGATGGTCACAGTACTTCAGCCTTAGTGAAATCTGTGACACCAACAGATCCACTGAAAGCTCAAACAACCCACCAATCCTTGCTAAAGAAGGATCCTCCAATGCCTGTAGTCTCGGGGTTCCCAAGAGCACTCCTATCTTAGTCTAATTTTATTCTCTTCTCGGATAGTGTTGGCCCGACTAGTGATCTGACCAGCTGGTGAGGAGTGCAGAATCTTCAATAGGTTCCTATTGAAATCTCCAAAAGATATATTGCCAAAAGCTTCTGAAGTAAGAACTTACAAATTAATCATATTTAGGATATGATTTCTCAAGTCTTCATAGGAACTGGTTTTATTCTAAAAACTCTTCTGTTTCTGTCATCTGCACTTACTGTATGAGTAATTGATCTCCAATAAATCTTCCCTCTCCTGTATAATCCTCTCCCTTTCTATTGCCAAATAAGACCTACAATGTATTCCAGGGAAGCCCACTTATAGTCTATCAAATTGAGAAAGTAGTGCCAAAGCCTTTTAGTTTCCACACAATGCAGAAGAAGATGCACAGCCATTTCTCCATCTTGGAGGTATAGAATACATACATGAGGTGAAATCCATCCTTTCCCCAGCCTCTTCTTTTGATGTACATAATAGGTGCAGTACTTGGGAGATCCTGGACATGTATCCTTTCCAGTCAAGGTGATTTGGAATTCAAATACTCCATTGAAGCTGAACTTCTTGCTTTGGGCTGCAGTACTAGGGATATGCCTTATGAACGGAAATTTATTGAGGAGGGATATGCAAATTCAGGAGTTGAATTGCTGCCTGTGTAGATGTTGAGACTGTTGACTGCCTTTGCATCCACTTCCCTGTAGCTGCAGAGTTGTGGTACCGTTTTATTAGGGCAGCACAGTTGTTTTGGACTATGCCTGGGTCTATAAAGGACCTGCTATTGGGATATGTCCTGTCAGGGTTAAGTAGGAGGGGGAAGTGCATTTGGAAGGCTATTTGGAAGTTGAAGGTGACTCACAGCTAGTAATTCATTGGACAAAGCAACTCAAAGAAGCACCTTGGAGATACAGACATGTGTTTAGGGAAATTGATGTAACCACAAAGAAATTAAATTCAAGCTTCAGCTGGGTAAGAAGAACTGCAAATGGGGTAGCTGATGCATTAGCTAAACAGGGAGTAGATAGGCCAAGTCTTTTCTGGGCAAACTTGTAAACGTTTTTGACTGAAGGGTGTTGGAATCTGCCAACAGTTGTAATAAGTTTAATCTTTAATTCTGAATGAAATCCTTTTGCTGATAAATAAATAAATAAATAATAAATATTAAATAATAAATACAGTGGGCAAGATTGAGTCCTGGATCTCTGTTGTAAAAGAGTTAAAGCACCAGGACACTGTTCTGCTGTTTAATTCAAGGGCTTGTGGGAAATCTGATGTATTTCTAGTTCCAGGTGGGACATCTTGGTTTCTCCTTGGCCTGTGTGCTTGTTGTATGTATTATATCCAGTTCTTTTCAACAATAAAATTCACTTTACCTTTCTTAAAAGTAAAAAAAAAAATCATTGAAGAGGTCAGTTCAGTTCAGGTTATTTGGGGGAGAGTAGAAATGGGGGAGTTTCAAATGGAGGAGATTCGGTATTAAATATAAATTAACGAAATTAATGGAAGAAGGGGAACCGAAATGATTCGGTTTGTATCGGCCTGTTTTGGGCTCGTATTGACCAATATAGATCCGAAACAGCCCGATACGGGCCTGTATCGGCTGATACATATGAAAAGAAGCGGAACAAATGATTGTTACATGTTCTGTGTATCGGGTTCTTATCGGAATGGTATGTATCAGCCAACACGGCTCAATACATTGTGATATTTTAAACCTTGGATCAAACCTCCAAACTTAAATTCTGGTCAGAAAACAGAATTAAAATATTGTATTTCAAACAAGCAATCCCAACAATATGAGAAAAATCCTGGTGGTATCCTATTGATGTCAATGCTTCTTTTTGTGTTTGCTTCACTCTCTAGTTAAAGATTGTGCTGTACTATTACTATAACTATAAAGAAAGCATTTTGTAAGGTTTGCTCGGTAGTTAATTTTAGCATTAACTTATCTGGTCACCCCCCCCATTCTGATTTTTCAGCAAAACAAGCAGATTTTGATTGATGCTGTTGTTCATGCTGTAAATGAGGACTATGTTGAGATGGCAAATGATTTCACCAGGCTCGGTTTCCTTGCTAGTGGAACCGATGTATCTCCCATTATTCCAGCTTTAGAAGCAATCTGGCAGAACTCAGCGGGAAAAGGATTATCAGATTTTAATTTTCGAAGTGTTACTGGTAAGCTTCACTCTGTTCTTTTCATTTTCTGTGAGACAAGGAAAAAAATGAAAATAAAGGATGAAATTCTTCTTCATTCTCTGCTATATAAAATTTATACTTTCCTCTTATTCTTTCATAAACTTTTTTCTTTCTTGATTAGTGTATTCTTTCATAACTATCAATACAGTATTTACATTTGGAACTTATACACAAGGTTGTTTCCAATTTGCAAGATAATATTATAGTATAATTTTCTTAAGATGGCAAACAATTGATGCCTTTGTGTAAAAAATATTCAAGTAACATACTTCTCCATTAGCTTCTCCAGAAAGCCTCTTCTGTTTCAAACATAATATCCCTTGGGTTGTAGAGCCTTATTATTCACCGCTCTCTGACTCTAAAATCCCAACTATTCAATTTGTTTTGGCCCACAAACCAGTTGTCACTTAACAAAATAGAAATTTTATTTTGTATCCCCTACCTTCTTGTAAGAAGTCCTTTTGGATCTTCACCACCAATGATGAACATCCAGTAAAGAGTAATGCAATAAATTGGTGGACTGGAAAGGGCACTTTCAATGGGAGTGATCCTCCCCTAAAAAATAAGTACCATTGTTGCTACCCCTGCTAGCCTCTTATCATTTATTTTATTTATAACAAGATCACATATTTTTGTCCTCCTAGAATCTGCTTCTATCAGCCAACCCAAATAGGAAAAGGGAAGATAGCCCACCATACCAAGCATCTGACACAGTACTCCATGATCCTTTCTTGTGATGTTCCTACCTCTATCAACACACTCTTCCTCATATTTATCTGAAGTTCTAGTGTCGCTTCTACGCCCCCCCCCAAATGACTATCCTTATCACATGGTTTTGATTTACTTATGGTTTGACAAGTACTGTTATGTTGTCTGAATTCTGAAAACTAAAGGTTAGAAATGGAATTATCTGCAAACCAAAGGTGAGAAATGGAATGTGCTCTACCTTCGACTCAAAAAGCTTCTTTCAGGCCCTGTTTCCTCTATCATCACAAATTATCAACTATGATGTGATCTTCACTGGTGAGAGGAAAAAAGGTGTTGGGAGGGGGTTCCCTTGCTTCAATCTCCTTAAACTAGAAAAAATATTGTAGGTGATCCATCTATCAATATAAAGAATTTCTATAGGAATGTGCCCCTTTTCCACTTTCTTTATCTCTCCTCAAATCATATTTTCTCCATGGTCTAATTAAAAATCTCATTTACATGATCATAAACTCTTCAAAGTCACCAACCTTGCTTTTGCCTTACCATGGAATCTATGCACTTGCTAGTGACAACACTCCATCAAAAGTTTGGCTCCCTAGCACATATGCTCCTTGATTCCAGAACTTTCCAGCTTCACTTCATTGAGCCAGTTTTCTAGTATGTTTATCGTGATTTTGCGTTCACTTGTCACAAGAATTATCAGTCTAAGGTCCTACAATATCTATGCCCTAGCTATCTTTGGAACAAGGCAACAAATTATGATTTGAACATTTAAATCCCTGTCCCACCAGCCCATATGATGGAACTTTTCCATGACTCTCATCAAACCCCCTTTAATTATAATCCAACTAGCCTTGAAGAAACTAGAAAGTCATTGTGAAACCATCTAGCCCTGATGCTTTATCATGGTACAATGATGGCCTTAAACACACCCTCCTTAATTCCTCTCACTTCACTACATTGTATTTCCTCTTACTGGTGGACTTCCATCCTACAGTTACCCAAGAAGGAATTACATGACCTTGAATAGGGATCTAACAGTGATAGAATCTTTTTTTTTGAAGATAAATAAAAAAGAAAATTTGTTAATTGATCGAAGTCGTGCAGTGAGCAGAGTGTGGGATCCTACAGTGATGCAGCTGTGCAGTGAGCAGAGCAAACTATTCTTTTGCCTTTTTCAGTGATATAAGCTTTATAGAAGTACCACTATATTGAACAGCAATAATTTTGTATTTGGTCAAAATCTTGGTTAATTGATCAAAGTTGGCAGCTCTAATATACCAATAGACTATGGGAACAAATAGGATGGATGGATTGTTAGACTTGGATTGGACCAGATGGTTGGATTTTCAACTCAAGAACTAATGTGGCTTTCTGGTTTTTAGAATGTTTTCAGTTCCCNAAAAAAAAAAAAAAAAAAAAAACTACTGACCTGCTATTATTAACCTGGAGAAACTGGTGAAAACCAGCTCAGTTTTAGCAACAAACTGCTTTCCATAACCAGCCCAGCTCATTGCTTCACCATAAGTCATAAAATGACAATAAAGAGAGTTGAACATATGACCTTCTGTTTACAAAGAATGACATATTACTGTTAAGATATGATACCATTTGTGTTTATTTAATGTATATATAATAACAATCAGAGCCCAGCTAAAACACATGCCAATTTATTTATTTATTTACGATGCCAGAAGGGTATGATACTGGAAGAACTTTGACCAATCAGAATCCCCCCATGAATTTTGATGAGTTCTAATTGGTCAATGGTTATCACTTCTCCGATACTGGTTGATTGGTTATCAGTTTTGTATATATATATATATATGATGTCATGGGTTACTGGGTCAAGTCAGTGGTCAAACTGTTTGACCATTGAACTGGTGGCCTTTTCTAGTTTTGTGAAAGTCTGAGTCTGATGACATTGCAAGAAACCTCCTTGTTACTGTATGTGTGACTCTCACTGCATATGACTTGCGTTAAGATTCACCATTCTCCTACCTCTTCAAAAAATCATTGTGCTCTATCCACATATTTATAAAACAAAAAGAAAGAATATGGTTATTTTTTGTGGACATTTTTACTTGTGGTTCTACTTATGACTAAAATTAATATTTCCTTGTGTATAGTTAAATGACAATTTATGCTTTAACTCTCCTAATATAATGTACATGTATTAAATGATGCAGGGAAATTTAACCAAATGGTTTACCAGTACCCTATCCGGATCCCTGAGAGGTTCTCTCTTGTTATCCGTTCTTTATTAACTCAGGAGGGCATTTGTTTCACATTGAAGCCAGATTTTAAATTTCTGGAGGTGAAGATGGTTTCTTTTCTTTGATAATTACTGCTTTATGGTCAATAACAAAAAATTTCCATTAGTTTATAGAAGATGTGCACAAAGAAGAGGATAAGGTATATGTATTATTAGTAACAAAAGTTGCTTGTTAAGATGAAGACAGTATGCTTAGAAGCATATTTGATCTTATGAAGTGAATGTGTGGTTATGTGTTTCTGAATATTTTTTTTTGATAAGCATTCATTATGAAAAAGAGGGGAAGGAAGAAAAATCAGCCATAGGGAATGTTCCTTATCTCAAAAAGGTCCCCAAAAACATGAGCTAATGGGCAGCCAAATCCATAATACATATTTTTGGATTGTTAACCATAAAATCTTATTAATATATGAAAAATAATGGATTAAAATACAAGTCTGCTAAGCAAGATGATTACAAATTTACAATCCCTCGGGTGTTGAGGAAACACCGAGGCAGAAAAGTCAAAAGAAGCTTTCAAATTACAGTTATGTAATTCAAGTACATCCAAAAATTTGCTCCTAAATCTGAGCAACAAACTCAGGAATTACTCCCCAATACAAGGCTTTTCTGTTAACTCTCTGCCTGCCTAGTCTATCAAGTAAACCATTGATTGATCTATGGTTCCATGTAAATGTTGCCCCCAATTCCCTAGCCATTTGTAATCTCACTGTGTGTCTAAAAATCCATGAGCTCTTGCTGTTGTTTTTGGTTCAGCCCCGAGTTGTTCTTGACATCCTCTCACTGTATGGCTCAGTTGGTAGGACCTCTGACTTATTGTAGCAGAGACCAGGGATCAAATTCCACTGCCACCAGGGTTTGGGGTGGGGGATGTGTAGCTAGGGGTGTCAACGGTATTTGAAAATCCGATTTCGAATTCGAGATTCGACATAATCGAATCGAATTTGGATGATTCAAATATCTAATCGGTCGAATTCGGATATGACCTGATTCGATTCGATAAATATCCGAATTTGACCGATTATTTAATTCTTATATATAATATATAAATATTTAAATGTTTTATATAATTTAAATACTTTATATAAATAAAGCATTTATTTTATATATTTATTAATTACCTAAAATAATTAATTAGTCAAATTCGAATTCGAATAGAATCGAATATTCAAATATTTAATCGGATTCGAATGCGAATATTAATTTTCTATGTCCATCGGATATCGAATCGGATTCAAATTCGGATATTGCCTGATTCGGTTCCAATTTGATCTGTTTACACCCCTATGTGTAGCCCCATGAAGCAAAAAAATAAAAATAAAAAACTAGCAATACAGCCAACAATTCAGCCCTTGCAGAATAAGTCCGTAATAAATATTCAACCAAACATTGATCAGACATCCAAGACTGACTGTTTCTTAATGGGTAAGATCAACAAAAACACTAAGAATCAATTCATGGAAATAAAAATAAAATACAAAGCCAGACAGAAACCTGAGTGGACTACACTGAACACCTGAGTGCAATACCTGAAGAACCAAACCCATTAAATGACAATTCAAATGCAAATGATCACACAACCTGCACATTTCAAGTGAGACATCTCCTGCAAATAAGATTATTAAAGCGAAGCCTACAACCAAAATCAGTACATACTTCTCTTGCTGCAGCTGTAAATGCTCCTATGGATCAAGAGGAATATCTGCAAGCCACTTTTTGGTGTAATGGTAAAATCTCAGGCTGGCAAGCAAGAAAACATGAGTTTGAGTCTGAGAATGGCCACTTTGCACCTCAAAAAGTCCAAAAGTTAGGACTGTATTTAGTCTACCCCCTCCCAAAACCTCAGATAGCTAGGAGGCTAGGTCAGCATTGGGTAATAGCCTTATCTGCTTGCCATGAAGAGATTCTAAACTATAAAAAGTTTTAAACTCTTAAGAGTTTATGCTTTATTAAGAGAATTACATTGTTGGGATGTCTTGTCAGAGAGATTGTTAACTTCATAACATGCCCACCTTTGCTATAAATTATTCTGTTCCTCCTGCATACATTCCAACATCAATAGATGATCTTTAATTTTCATCATTTAAAAGGAAAAATTCTTTTACCTGAATCTTGTTGAGCAATGATGATGATTAGAACTGTTTTTAGTCATTTTAGGTTGCCTATCCATATGTGGCAAAGCGTCTTTTGACAGATCCTAATCCTGCACTACGTGAACGGCTCATACAGGTCAGTTCTACTCCAGAAATTGTATGCTACTCATACTGAGCCTATTTTTCATATCTTTTTAGTAGTGAAAATTAGTTATTTAGGCTCAGTTTGGAAAGAGTATAAATGCAAATACATACAAAATAATATAAAACATAAGGTTTTGCACTCTATATATTTGCATTTGTACTCATTCCAAACTGGGCCTTAGGTTTTGTATAATGTTTGACAATGAAGAGAAATTTTATGGTCCATAAGTGGTTAGGGTACAAGGAGGGAATGAAATGATTGTCCTCATTCATATTGTGCCTAGCCTGTAGGACTTTAGGGCCAGATTGGACCTAGATACTTGTCTAGATTTTTTGGGCCGGGTTGGACTTTAGCTAAAGGACAAGCCCTGTTGGGCCCATTTCTGGCACTACCTGGATTAATCTCATTTTTTTATAGTTTTTTGATCAGCAGCACAGAAAATCAAACTTTCATTAATATTTTAAAAGAAAAGGACTGCAACAAGAAGTTGTGAGAGACTAGCAAACCCATTACAAAACCAACCACCCTACTGTATTATAATTGTGCTAGCCCAGTACATATGTTGTCTTTGAACCCCTTGCTTAGTTAAATCATCTGCCAAGCTGTTAGCAGGTTCTCTAACCCATTTGAATTGCCTAAATTCATTTCTAAGCTGCCAAACTACCCCCTCACCTTTTTCCAACCATCCCACTACAGCACTACTATCTTCGAATCACCTTCAATGATCAAGCTACCAATTCCCATCTCTTTAGCTTTCTCAACCCCAAAAACTGCTGCTAGAAGTTTGCTCTTACCATATCACCTTGCACAATTGGGCCCGCATACAAGGCACAAGTAATACCACCCTCATCTCTAATCACCCCTCCAATTCCTGAGGGGCCTGGATTGCCCAAACTACTGCCATCAAAATTCAGTTTTATCTTTTTTTCTTTGTATATTTGGATTAGACTCGTAATGTATGCATACATATTGGCATACATATGATGCTTATATGAAAGACTATAGGATAGAATGTTCATTAAGTAGTACATATTTAAACATTTTTCTATCTATTTATGTACTAGATATGCATGAATAGGCCACATGGACACACTTGATACTTATGTAATGTTCATGGCATATACATGACTTACATACAGGTACATCCCTCTAGATACAAATTTATGAGTTATCACAAGACATGTACACATCACATGAATACACAAATGATATAGCTAAGCATGCATATATAACATATTTCCTTGCATAAGCATTTATTGCACTATCAAATTGAAAATTAAGCAAAACCAAGGATTAATTTGGTGGCTAAGGGAAACTAATCTAAGTTTTAGGCTTTGACTTTGCAGTACTACTCTTTATAAAATAATCACTTATTAGCCAATCCTTAAGGGCCAATTTTCTGGCCTGATGAAATGCAGAGTTGGGCCAGTGGGATGGAGAATGATTTAATTCAAGAGGACATTCAAGGTTGGCCTGAGAGATTGTTGGGTAAAGGAAAGTATGGGCTACATTACAGGGCCAAGTATGGGAGTAAATCCCCTAGATCCAATATATGCTCCATGGCCGTCTATAAGAAATATAGAAGAGTGCTTGAGGAAGGTTTTATGCAAGCCAGATTTGAAATGAGTCACAAAACAATTGGGTATCTCTTCTTGGGACTCAAAAACTGAACCATCTACTTCAAGTTTAGACACTAGATTTTTCCTCCTCCTTCCATTAGCCAATTAATGAAAAAATTTGGTGTTTCTGTCACCTTTCTTGATCCATTTATATATCTAAATTTTTGCCTCCAAGAGACTTCCTCTCGCAAGAGGACCTCTTCTAAATCCCCCTTTAACTTCCATCTCAACTCCCTTTCCTGTAGATTCATTAATCTTTGGGACTCCTTCATATACAATTCCCCTATCTGAGCCATCAGAGAAGATTTCACTTCTTCTATTCTCCCAAAATGATCCCTATTCCATTCTTTTAATTTTGCTCTAAGGCTTTTTAATTTTTTGTGAAACTTCACACCTTTCCACTTCACCCCACTTATTTCTACCCTCCACTAATCCTCTATGTTCTTCAGAAAATCCGGGTGTGTTAACCACATGTTTTCAAATCTAAACTGTCGGGGTCCACACTTAAAGGTTTCCTGTCCTAGCTTAACGGGACAATGATCTGAAGTGACTCTAGGCAAAGCTTTGGAAATCAAATCTCTCCAATGACTTTCCCAACTTTCATTAAAGAGGAATCTATCTAACTTTGAGAAGGTTGGGGTTTCCTGGAAATTGGACCAAGTGTACTAAGCTTGCAAGAGAGAGAGAGAGTTCCTTTAATGCACAACTATTAATGAAATCATTGAACTTCCTTATACTAGTTGTGATGGTTTGTTGGGGATTGTTTGATTCATTGGTAAATTGAATTACATTGAAGTCCCCCCCTAAACAGCAAGGACCATCCCACAATCCTTGAATCCCAACATGTTTTCTCAGAAATCATTCCTCTCTATAATTGCTTGGTCCATACACATTCGTTAACACCCATGTGAAGCCATCATCCACCCCTCTAAACTTTAGAGACATTGTGAGGTTTCCTATTTATTCCTCCACCACCTCCACTACTTCTCTCCAAAAAGTGACAATACCCCCCGAGGCCCCCCCAAGAAGGTGTAGAGACCTAATTAATTCCTCTAGATTTCCAAACACTTCTAGCCCATCTTCTACCAAGCTCCGCTAGTTTAATCTCTTGCAATATAACAATATCCGGCTTTTCCCTTCTAAGGAGATCCTTAACTAATCTTCTCTTCCTTGCACTACCTAAACCTCTCACATTCCAACTAATGATTTTCATAGGAACATGGAATTTGGAACCCACCTCAAGTTACAAGCCCTTAGGAATCTTCCTTCTCTTCCCCCTTCCACTAAATTCTAAGTCTCCCTCTATGCCAGAAATCAATCTCGTCACCTCTGATCTTTTCTTCTTCCTTCGGCTTTGTATTAAACCAGAATTAATTGAGTTCACTCTTTTGACCTTTGAGACCTCCACATTTTCTGGGCTTTCTTCCAAAGAATCTTTGACATTCTGATACTCCTCAAGGGGAACACAAATTTGTCCCCAAATTCTCTCTAATTCCTCCTCCTGCACTTTCCCAAGAGCCAGATATCCTCCTGCATTTTCGCAACCTTCAACCACCTTCTCTGCTACCCCTTCCAGTAGATTGTGAGTCTCTATATTTCCCTCCAACAGTTCCTCTTTTCTGCTTAAACTCCTCAAAATACATGCATATTTGATCCCAAATATTCTCCAACTCTTGATTCTTTCTTTTCCTCGTATCCTCCTCCCATCTTTTACCCCCACTATCCTCCCTCAATACCCTCCTTTCCGGGGCCACTCCTTCTGATTGAGGTGCTAGAGTACCTGTGCCAGACACATGACCCACATCAGTACCATAAACCGAAAGACAGACATACCTGAGTTTGTTGGAGGAACAGACAGTAATGCTGGAGGACTAGAAGGGGGGGGGGAGCGGGTCAGAGGCCATCCCTCCTTTGTTAACCAACTGTGGGGTAGTAATAAAAGGCTCAACCAAATCCAAATTAGCCTTATCATCCAAATCCACCTTTGAGTGTTGTCTCCTCTCTGATGATTTTGTGTTCAGTGACCGAGAGAGTTCCTGTCCCTCTAGGCCTCTATCCGTTTTTAACTGCTCTAATGGACCAGGAACACTTGTTGGATTAGCTGTACCCTGACTCTCTTGTGTGAAATCTACTAATTGCCTGGCTTCCTTAGGTGGAGTTGGATTCTGAGAGGGATTCTGGATGACTTCTGTCAACTTGTCTTCCAAGAAGAGTTGTTCGGTGTGGAGACTTTCAACGTCGAGAAGACTCTTAGATTGTAGCTGTTCCACACTACCAAGGCTTGAAGAGTCGTCGGTTTTAATCCTTGCAACACAACTTTTGTTCAAATTTATTTGCAAGTTTGAGGTCTGGTCAAACAATTTCACCACCAACTATAGATTCTTCATATTCCTAGCATCATCACCTTCACACAATATTATAATATCATCTACAAACATAAGATGGGTGATTGGAACATTTTTTTCCTCTACAAGCTGGACTGCTGGAAAAAATCCTTCACTCCATTGAGCAGAATGAATGATGACAAGATTGTAAACATCCATCTGTCCACTTACACAATTTGTCCCCAAATCTACAATTTTTCATCACCTCTATTAGGAATGACCAATCCACAAAATCATAGGCCATTCTCTATATCAAGCTTACACACAAAACCTTTATGCCTAGATCTTGTCAACTCCCCCAAACATTGATTGGCAATTAGAATTTGATTAGTAATTTGCTTCCCTTGGATAAATGCCCCTTCAAATTGACTAATGATGGAAGGAAGAAAAGTCAAATTTTTCAATAATTTGTAAATGCTGGTCACCAAGCTAATAGGTCTGAATTCTTTAGAGTGTGTGGCTTCCAACTTCTTCAGAATTAATGCTAGAAAGGTAGCATTAACGCTAGGGCTAATAAAATGTCTTTCAGCTAACTCAAGAAGTTCCAGTTGGAAAGAGGATTCTTGTAGGAGGAGATCTAAATGGTCATGTGAGAAAACTAAGTATAGGTTATTATAGGGTGCATGGTAGATTTCAGTTTGGGGAGGGGAATGAAACAAGAGATACAATTCTAGAATTTGTAACAGCTTTTGATCTAGCAATAGTAAATACATACTTAGAAAAGGTGATGCTTTTCTAGTTGGAGGTTTAATATGGCAGAACAGGATTCATATAGCCGGCACCATATGGTTGGGACAAGGCTTACTTGAGTTGAGTTGAGATGAATATATCAAAAGGTGATGCTTTTCTAGTTGGAGAGGTGGAAAGATTGGGGAAGTTGTAATCGTTAAGAGTTGCTTGTCGCATCTGCCTACATATTGCCTATTGTTCTTTTTCTTTTTTGAAAACAGGTAAAGTATAATGTCATTAAAAGAAAGAAAAGAGAAAAAAACACGTACAACAAGATGCTGTACACAGGGATTTACAAAACACTGCCCAAGCCGACCTTTACCCCCCAGCCCTGCTTCACAAAAAGATATTCTCATGTACAAAAAAGTGTTGTAATTTCTATCTTTGAACAATTTGTTTACAGATAGCCAAGACATCAGATTGCCCACTATTCTCTGAAGCACTGAGTCGGGAGATCTGCTCTTGTTCTTGAAAATTCTTGCATTTCTCTCTTGCCATAAACGCCAAAAAACAGCTGCAGATGCCATATTCCAAGCCAGTTTTCCTTTCAAGGATAAACCCCCTATGCTCAAACCTCTTACAAAATCCATAACTGATTCTGGACAGCAGCTTTTTATTTCAAACAGGTTCCAGATTTTGAACCACACTTCTTGGGCGAAACTACAGTGTAGCAGCAGATGATTCACAGATTCCTCCCGAGCCTCACAGAAGACAGAGTTAGTGGATGCCAATTGCATCCCTTTTCTTACCAAATTGTCCCTGGTTAAGAGTCTATTCAGACAGGCCATCCAAACAAAGAAGGCCACCTTGGTGGGGACATTCTTACACCACACGACCTGTACTGGAATGTTCTGCTCTTCTGATCTTGAGATAGCATAATAGAAGGATTTAACCAAAAAATTCCCAGATTTGTACCATTTCCATGCTCTTCTGTCAGCACTCCAAATGTCCACCTGAATATCATATAATCTTTGTAGTTACTCCACCATTGTCTCTATTCCCAATCATTCAAAAGTCTACTGAACTGAGGAACCCTCACCACACTGCCTTTTTGCACCTGCAAATTTTCTGCCACACTTGATTCTATGTTTACTGCCACCTCAAAAAGAGCAGGAAAACTCTCCTTCAGCGGTCTGTCTTCACACCACGTGTCTTCCCAGAATTTTACCCTGAGACCATCACTGATTTTAAATCTTACTCCTTTTAAAAAGGGGTCATGAGCTTTCTCAAAATCTGTCCATATTGAGCATCCATAATTTTGATTTAGGCTTCCTGGCTCCCAGTCTGAATTGCTGAAGCCGTACTTAGCTGCAATTACTCCTCTCTAGAGTCCTCCCCGATTGTTTCCAAATCTCCAATACCACTTGCCTAACAGAGCAATGTTGGTGTCCCTTACCCTATGCATACCCAAACCTCCTTTTTATTTTGATTTACAGACCTTGCTCCAATATTGCCTATTGCTCTTCTCTATTCCAGTTTCAGTGAAGAAGATCCAAAGCTATTTCCTATGGCTAGTTAAAGGTGGTAGTGAGATTTGTTGCATGCAGTCTTAAAGAAGATGAGAATTTTTGTACTTACAACATTCGGGTTGGTGCCAAATGCTTCTGGGTAAAAGACACCTTAGTGAAGTCAATATTTGGATTAAGATAGTAGGTATGGAAGCCAAATTTGGAATTTGGACAATCTGGATGTGGGAATTTCTAACCCATGATACCAGGATACCTGTACAAAGGTGCCATATTGTGTTTGGTTACAGTGCAAATCTTGATCAGGTGCAAAACTTTTACCTGGTTCAGTTTTGATTTTTGTCTCTTTTGCACTCACTGGCAGTGCAAATTTCACATCCCAAAAACTGATCCAAAATTTGCACCATCTTCCTCCTACCTCAATTGTTTCTCATATAAAGTGGGGATCACATCATCTTGCATCCTACGTTACTCCTAGACAGATAACCCACCTCCTACCTCCATTCTCTTTCATTTAAAGTGGAGATCACTTCATTTTACTTCTCACAAACAAATAAGACGGTCAAATCTGAAGCAAAAGTAAACCAGAATTTACACAGCCCTTTTCCACTCCCATGCATTTACACCAGTGCAAATGAAATTTGTACTGCAACCAAACACAGCTGAAAGGATTATGGAATATGGTGAGATACGACAGTGGGTTCATTTTTTTTGGGGAAGCTTCATTATTGGTTGTTCTTGGATCAGTACAATATAATCTCAGTAGAAAGGTTTGGACAGCCTGTTTTGATATAAAAACTGTAAAAAAAGGATTGCAAATGGGTTGGCGGATACCCTAGCAAAACAGGGGGCAAATAGATCTACCTTGTACTGGGCAGAACTGTAACTGTTTGTAGATTGGGTTAACGCAGTGCTGCAACCTATAACTATTGTAATTCAATATTTCTCTGTTATTAATAAAAGTCTTATTTGCTGATAAAAAAAACTGTAAAAGAAAGAAGAAAAGAAAGAGGAGAAAATGTTTCAGCTAAGAAAGAGAGAGAAGAGAGATAGAAGAGAATGGGAGAAGCTCAGAATTAGGTCTGGCCGCCCCTTTCATTAGATTATATATTCATAAAATAAAAGAGAGTACAAAGACAAGTATGCCCTTAGTAAGTCGGCTACTTGTGAGAACTTAAAAACACTCTTAACTTAAAACATAAGCTAATGGGCCTAAGGCCCAATAACTCCCTAACTATGCTATGTAAATAAAAAAACATGTTATATCAGCCCAAAACTCAACACAAGTCTAACAAAAAATCCTAGGTTGATGGATTGTTTGGAGGAGTTAGACAATAAAAGTTGGATTCAGATTTAGAAGAAATCTCATAAACTAGTTGAAGGAGTTCTAGTTATTATTGTGGATAGTGTAGTATCAGTTTAGAAAATGGAGGGATCCAAAAGGACTGTCCTCAGTCAGGGTCTATTTTCTTATCTTTGGATGCTAGTAGTAGAAGGGTTCTTCTAGCTAAGATGATCTAGAGGGGCTGTATTCTTCTGAAATCTCTCTCTCTCTCTCTCTCTCTATTATGTGGCAGACTACATTAGATAGGATTTTTGTGTTAGATTACCTTACCAGTGGGCAGATAGCTTAACAATATATGCAAATTATTATATGAGCAGAAAGTCATAATCACTTGCTACTGCTAGTTTTTGTGGGGCCTCCTTAATTAAGGTGATTGAAGGGAGTGAATATGAGTTGGCAGAAAATTCTGTTGTCAAATTCATTCTTGAAAAAATGTTGCTTACCTAAATGTTAAAACATGTTCCTTCTTGAAAATATGCTAGGGTATATGGAACAAATAGGAGAGGAATCCTTGCATCTTTAGGAGCAAGGGTATTTCTTAAGAGTGATTGGACAAGAGGCTAAATGGTTCTGCTGCATTCATATCCCTATTTATAGGAGTTAAATATGTATATGTGTTTAGGCTGTTCTTGGATGGGAGTAGTTGCTTTTGCCTTGAGGCTCATTTTGTATAGGCCCGGTCTAGATTCCATTAATAGATGGTTCACTTTGTCATATGGGATTTTGGGCATCTCATGAATTAATATTTTTAAGGTAAAGACTTGATTGGTGTTTCCCAAGCAATTCAAGCATCAAGATCTTTTGTATTAGAAATACTAGTATTTCAGAAGTAGGCTGGCTATGTGAGAAGGGGCAAGGTAAGATGTATTTGTATGGGTATTAGGAACAGAACTTATTAATCTTTTGCTGTTTTGTTTTATAGTCCAGTATTCCCATTTTTCTAAATTTTTATAGTAGTCATCTCCTAGTCCTAGCACAGCAAAAATAGGTAGTCTACTTTTATTTGTATTTCTCAATACTTTGACCAAGGAGACATGCTAACTTCAATGGTTTTCTTTGGGAATGCTCTATCCCATATTTTGTTTACCATTCTGATCAGAGAAACAACGAAGTGTTAATACCCAAGACTTTGGGTAGATACCTAACCGCACTCTAGATTTATAGATCATTCTGGAAATGTTGACTACAATTTTCTTATTGTATAGGTTCTTTTTAAAGATGGAGTTTTTCAGTGGAAACGGCTTGAGAACCTCATAATTCTAGCAAAGGAGAATGTGGTGAAAATGAGTAGCAACCCAGCAATGCTAGTGAAGAACAAGTCTGTGGTTTGGTTCACTTGATTATGCTTAATGTTTCACGCTGTTTAAGCCTTGTAGTAACATATATTCATATCTTTTTTTTTTTCCAGAACACAAAAGACCAAGGATTGGCAAGTTGAAAAGAAATTGGACCTTACTGATACCATCAAGGATGGAGCTCGCCTTTTCCTAATTGATGCAGGGATTCGCAGACAGCTTCTTCTTGCTCTAACTGAAGATTCCAAGATGCACATACAAGAGGTTTGTAGTGTCAAGCTTAGGAGAAAAATTAGAATAATTGGATCTAGTTTACTCATATTACTGAAATAATGATTTTTTTCCTCTTAGCTTGTTGACGTGTATAGACTGATTGAAGGTGATATAGATCTACCCTCAGTAGCTTTGGAGGTTATACAAGGTAAAACATTGCTTTCTTCCTCAATGTATCTGATTCCTTAAATTTCATGTTTCTAGGATCCAACATAAAGTAAAACATACATTCTGTTAAATCTGTTTGCTTATTGGATTGTATGGTGTGAGTTGCAGAGTTGCCAGCTTTTACACGGGATATGATGTTGTCATGGAGTGATTCTGTTTTATCAGACAAGTGATATGAAGCCTTCAAGTGTCTACCCTATGATTAGATCCTGAGTTTGTCGAGCATTACTTGTACTATAGCTAAAGCACCATTATTATATAATTTTGGTTATAGAATCCTAACAAATGTTGTAATATTGGAATCACATCATTCTCTGTATAGCAATTATCATTAGCCATTTATAAACATGTGGAAAGAATAAATCAAGATGGGAAAAAAGGGAATTTCACCATGTATTGTGTATATTTGTATCATCATCAGCATATATGTGGTTGGTATTTGGAAAAACAGAAGTGCCTTTACCACTTCAATTTACTGATATGGCATCCTTTTTAAATCATATGCTTTTAAGCCCTCCTTGCCCACTTCCATGTCCTTTATTTTTCCATCTTGTTGTTTTACAATGGTGTACCTGCACTTGTCCATTCCTTATCACTATTGTAATTGAGCTAAATAGGTGTTCGATTTCCACTGGACTCAACTTGATCTGATGGTTTGGAGATAATTTGCACAAAAATCAACATGACTTGATGGTCTCCAAACACTTTGGGGGTACCTGAGGCGATTGTGTGTATCTAAAATTTTTGTCGCTTAAGGCCCAGTATGGAAAGAGTATAAATACAAATATGTACGGCTCAGTTTGGAAGGAGTACAAATACAAATTTGCAGAGTACAAAATTTGTATATATTTGCTGTAAATACACATAAAATAGTTCAAAATACAAGGCTTTGCACTGTACACATTTGTATTTGTACTCCTTCCAAACTGAGCCTACAGTACAAATATATACAAATTAATACAAAATACACGGTTTTGCACTCTATATATTTTTTTTCGTACTCCTTTCAAACTAAATACAAATATATGGTATAAATATATGCAAAATAATACAAAATACAAGGTTTTGCACTCTATATATTTGTATTTGTACTCCAGCAAAAAAGCTCTGTAAAGCAAGCAGAATTTTCTGATATGAAAGAAAGATGTCTAAAGTTCAGGAATCCCATGGATACAAGGGAGCTGATGGCGGGGATCAAATGAACAATTGATAGTTAGGATATTCTACAAAAAAAAAAATAATAATAAAGTTTGATGGAATAGAAAAACCTGTTCACAGGCCGGGCTTTGTCTCTTTATTAACAGAACGTACAGGCCTGAGCCTGGGCCCGAATCTTATATAAAGCCCGAAGTCTGAACTGCACATAAAATGTCCTATTTTTGGTGTAACTTAATAAACTAATCTGTATAACTATATTAAGCTGAAATGTGTAAGAAGGCCCAAGGATGAGGGAAATGGAATCTAACAGTATTTTTTGCCTTTTTTTCATAGAACTTACAAGAATGCCACTCTCTATCAACTCTCTCTTTTGCTTTTTTTTTTTTTCATGCCACTCTACCAACTTTCTCTTTTGCATTTTTTTCTTTCAAATTACAAAAATGCTACTCTCCTACCAATTCTCTCTCTCTTGCTTTTTTTTTCTTTCAAATTACAAGAATGCCACTTTCTCTCCCAACAACTCTCTCTCTATCTCTCTCTCCTTATAAATTACAAGAATGCCACTCTCTCTCTAAATGAGGGAGACCTCAGCTCGGCATCTCGGCTGCTAGGGGACCTGCAATCAAAGGTAGTTGAGTTCGAGCCGAATTGAGCTCGAACTTCTGAGCTCAAGCTCAAGTCTCTAATTTTAATCGAGCTCGAGCTAGACGACACCTTGACCACTGAGAGAGACCTTGGTCATTGAGGGAGATCTCAGCTCAACACCTCGACAACTGAGGGAGACCTCAGCTCAACATCTTGTCAACTAAAGGAGACTCTAGCTCAACACCTCGCCTGCTAGGGAAACCTTAGATCGACACTTCAACAGCTAACAGAGGCATCAGTTTGGCACCTCTGCAATTGAGGGAGACCTCGACTTAGCACCTCGGCTGCTTGAGAGACCTGCAATCAAAGGTAGCCGAGCTTGAACTTCCGAGCCCAAGCTCGAGCTCAAGTCTCTAATTCAAATCGAGATTGAGTCTGATAATTTATGAGCAAGCCCCTACAACGTAGGGCCCCCTCTGCTAGTATTGTATTAATTTGGTAATAATTTAATAAACAAATATATACCATATACATTCATTATATATAACTAATGTATATTTTTATTTAGGGTTCCACTATGATATGGAAAAGATATGATATTTGAAAAACAACTGACCAATAAAGTGGAATCATAAACGTGGTAGCAAATAAGGTTTTTTTATCAAAATTCATGGATGGGTTTTGATTGGTCAAAACTCTTTCCATACCATCATAGATTTACCCTTTTATTATATGTAATAGTATTGGGCCGGGCTTATTTAAGAAAGCCTGAGACTGACCTAACAAATAATTGGGTTTCATATTTAAAGCCCAAGCCCGAGCCCGTGGGCCTAAAATTTTGTCCAACTTGAAAAATATCAGACTGGGCCATACCTGGCCCATCAATAGCTCTACTTGCAACTAAACCTGTTCATGGGCCGGCCCGGCCCGGCCCGGCCCGACCCCCAGACGGGCTTGAACAGGCTTTTTGGCCCGCGGGCTTAACCTCGGGCCAAAAAGCCCGGCCCGCATAAAATTCGAGCCGGTCTCGAGCTTTGCCAAAATAGCCCGGCCCGACCTATAGTTAAACCTAAGTAAAAACACTATGTGATGTCCATTTGAATAAATTTTTTGATTTGAGAATGTTGTTGATTCACTTGTAGGCCCATTGTTCATTTAAATAGGGGAAAAACATCTAAATTAAAATAGAAAATGTCCATTTGAATAGAGAAAAATTTGAATTTCTTTTATTAGGTTGGGCTTCGGGCTCGGGCTCGGGCTTCGGGCTTTTTATCAGGGCCGGGCTCGGGCCCAAGTTTTAGGCCCGTTGGTCGGGCCGGGCTCGGGCTCAGGCCTAACATTTTTCTGTTAATAAAGAGTCAAAGCCCGGCCCGAGCCCAGCCCGACCCGGCCCATGAATAGATCTACTTGCAACTCAAATGCCATAGTTCATCGCTCTTCATTGTTTCCTTCCTTCATACCATTATTCGTCTCCTTCCTCTTAACACCACCGACAGTGGTTGCAAAGGAAAACTAAATAAAGCATTTATTTCTAAATAAAAAATAATGCAAAACTAATAGAAATACTTCTTCGATTAAGAACGGCGATTCGAAGGCAGTGTTGAGAATTATTGTCTACTACTTTATCTTCTGTATTTCTTTTTTGAAAAGAAAAATAATCGTTCAATCTCTTCCAAATAGGAGAGACGACTCATCAGGTTTGACTTTCTAACCTTTTTCTTCAGCCCATCATGGGTAAAATGCCACTCATCAAAAAGATAATTTTAGGCAAGGTTTAAAGTATTGACACGTATCGGGAACACCTCAATATGCCCTTACAGAGGATGTATCAGGGTTCTGATCGGTTCAGGGGGTGGAGGAGTCTTAAACCATCCCTTGAACTGATTTAAAAAAATAAAAAAATAATACCGATACCACCTGATACGCCCCTACCGACGTATCAGGCGTATCGATATTTAGAACTTTGATTTTAGGAGGTACTTCAACTTTGCCTCAACGATCATGATGATTTTAGAGAAACCGTATTGCTTTGCAAGGTCCAGCCTGCTCTAACTACTTGGGTTGAAGATATAGAACCTAAGTTTGCAAACTAAAACCCCACTGTGTTCACTTTGATACTACCATACTAAAAACCATTTTCAAAGAGATCCATATTTTGTTTCTGAGCCTCTTCATCCACTAACAGCCTGAGTCAATCCTAAAAGTTGAAGAGCTACCATATCATGATCAACATAGGGGCGTCTAAAACAAGACTAGCTGCTAGTTTCTGTTTTGCTTGCATTGTTTTGTTATTTTTTACTTGCTTATCCAAGTAGAAAAGCCAGGAGCGTTAATTGATTAGTCCTCTAAATTCTTCTCTACTCCATTTATTATTTCTCCTCTTTGGAAGAGATGAAGGGTTTATTAATTTATTTTATTTTTCTCTTTGAAATATTTCCTCAAAAAAAAAATCTAAAAAACAAAGTAACAAAGAAGTATCTCATTCCTCTAGTTCGAGATGAATGGTGGCATTGGAATCAAGTCAATTTGGTCGACAAAGTGAATAATTTTGTCCCACTCACCGTTTTTGTAATTTTTTCTTTTGAAAATGTATCTGATTTTACTATTCCATCAAACTTTATATTCTGTTTTTCAAAAATCCCTAAAGCAAATGGAATATAAAATTTAAATCCACACCTGCCAAGTGAGTGGTGGTTCAGTTGGTACATAAATTGAGTAGTCCTAGAAAAGATGCAAAAAGTGTTGCACTATGTCAAGAAAACATGAAATACAACTCTATGGGGGTAAAAGGCGATGATTCAATACAAAAAAAACTGTCCCTTTAACATAGTGAGGTAATCAACCAATCTTCTAAGACTTGGAATGCTAGACTTCTAGCTGATTGGTTTCCCATTAATATATCTAATGCTGTTATGGAAATTTATATTCCTCAATCTCATTCTGATGTCAAAGATGGGCTAATCTAGAAATGGGAGAGAGATGACATCTTCTCTGTGAGATCGACGTATCACATTGCTAAAGCAATGACAGACAATAAGAAGAGGCAAATAGCTGGAGTAAGTGGGGCTGACTCCAAAGGCTAGGGGTTATGGAAAGAAATATGGAGCCTCCCGGTCCTTCCTAGAGTTAATCACTTTCTTTGGAAGATTGTTCATGGAAAACTTCTTGTCAACTTGAACCTTTGGAAGCGTGGGGTGATCCCCTCCAACCTGTGTTCCCACTATCAATTGCATATCGATATAGTAGAGCACTCTCTTCTTTAGTGTCATCTGTCCAGAGCTTGCTGGTTCGGTTCGTACTTGGGTTTCAAATTCCTAGAAACTAACGGAGGAACTTTTACACTGTTTGGTTTGAAGGAAAAAAGTAGGGAAAGGAAAGTGATGTAATCGTTTCTGGTCACGTACCAATTTTTTGTGATGTATAAATTTTTTTTTTGGCTAAGTATCTCGTTATTTGACCCGGTGGTGATGTGCCTTGGTGATGAGCTACTTGGTGGCGAACTCCCTGGTGGAGAACTATCTGGTGGCGAGCTCCCTAGTGGAGAGCTAGTTGGTGACGAACTGCTTGGTGGCGAACTCCCTGGTGGAGAGCTACTTGGTGACGGACTGCTTGGTGGCGAACTGCCTGGTGGCGAGCTCCCTGGTGGCGAACTGCCGGTTGGCGAGCTCCCTGGTGGAGAGCTACTTGGTGACGAACTGCTTGGTGGCGAACTGCCTGTGGCGAACTACCTGGTGGCGAACTGCCTGGGGGAGAACTGCCTGGGGAGAACTGCTTGGTGGCGA